AATTTGGTGATTTTGTTCTTTTTCAATAGTGAATTTAATTGTTGGTTCTTTATTATTCAGATAAGATAAAAATTGATCAAGTTTTTGTTCGCCATGACTATAAATGGAGAATACGTCATCAATATAACGCCACTAAATTATTGGCTTAAATTTGTAATTATTAATGAAAGTTGATTGAAAATTTTCCATAAATAAATTACTGAAAAATGGGGATAGTGGTGAGCCCATAGCCATTCAAAAATTTTGTTGATAAGAATTGTGATTGTATTGAAAGTAAGTTGATTTTACACATACTGTTAAAAGTTCAATAATGGTGTTAATGCTTAGTTGTGTGCGTTCTTTAAGATTGGTGTCAGTTTGTAATTTTTGTTTGATGATATTTAAAGTTTTATCAACAGGAACGTTAGTGAATAGACTAACAACATCAAAACTTACTAGAATATGGTTTGGATTTATGTCTATGTCTGATAATGTTTGTAAAAAATGTTCAGAATTTTTAATATAGGAAGTTGCGTTATTTATTAGGGGATTCAAAATGTTTAAAAGATAGTTGGCTAAGGCATGTGTAGGTGAATTTATACTACTAACTATTGGTCGTAAAGGAATATTAACTTTATGAATTTTTGTAACTCCGTAAATATAAAATATCGAAATAGCTATCCAAACTTCAAGGTAATTTTTCAAATTAATTTCTTTACTAATTGGAATTTTCTCTTGCAGCTTGAGCCTAAGTGTGTCGCAGGATACCCTCTAGGTGGTAGTTATTGATTGCTTTTTGATAAATACATCGTTATTATTGCGAAATAGGAGCACTATTTATCAATCTGTAATAAAAGACGTGAGGAAATTCTGTCTTTTAAAGACAAAAATTTTTGAGGCGAAATACCGAAAAAGAAGTTTGTAAAAAATGAATCCGCCTCAACAATATAGAACTTATCTAAAATCACCAAATCTCCCAACGGAAACCTCAACCAGTTCATATCTTTGGATAAATATTCAATTAAACCACTGCACCTACAACTAGACATTGGTCTTACCTAAAGTACAATCATTAAACATCCAACGGAATTTGAGGGAAATTTTACGAAAACGCTCCTGCTTTGAGAATTTGGAAACCCTGATTTCAAACCCCATCTACTAGTATAAATGTTGATGTGGGACAGTTGGAAAGCTGTTCAAATCGTCAGTCGATTGAAACACGATTCCGAAAACTCCCGTTTATACTACAGAGTGGAATTTGAAACAAAAAATTGGCTATATTACCTAAAGGCATCACTTCCAAGCCTGCTTCAACGCCTTGCGCGCCGCTAAATGCATCGTGCCGAACGAGGCGATTATTAAGCCTGTGAGAACGAGCACAATGAGGCGATGGTCGAAATCCTCTTTGAGCACATCGAAAGTCTTCGAAGGCGCCACCCGAGTGTAGAAGATGTCCAGGCCATGAACCAGAATATGGCTGGTGGACTCCAGGCGGGCTGGCGCCACTTCAATTCCCCGTATTCTGCCCAGCGATTGATTGTAGTTGATGATGGCCTCGGGATGCAGCGGCACTTCGGGCATGTACGGAATGCAGCTCTCTTCAGCCCCGCAGGGCATCCCGGGAAAACGCGGCTGCAGCATCATCCAGGGAACCTCCACCACTGCCCCATTGCTTAGGGCGATCAGCAGGAACTTGTTAGTGATTCCCCTCTCTGTAAGAGTCACGGCCATTTCGACGGGCGTGGCTGGCAGGATGTACGACTGGCTTTGAGCCTCTGGCAGCTGACTAACGGCGAACGAGCTGAACACTGTGCTGTTGCTCTGCAGATGGCCCTCATACAGCTCAATGGCTTCCATCTCCATCCGCCTAAAGCGCTCATTGAAGTAGGTGTAAACCAGCCAATTCTCCGAGTGAATCAAGTGAACGGGGCCTTTGGCCTTCTTGTGGGCAGTTGAGTGCAGCACCAACCCACTCACACCGTCTATCAAGTACACACTAACAACACTGCGATGGATCTGGTCGGCGCTCACAGTGGCCACTGCCAAGAGATTGGGGTTCACATACTTGTAATACACTGAGCGATCGAACAGCACTTTGCCCTGCGAGTGGACGCGCTCATTTGCCGGCTTGGCGCTCACGCTGAGGATTCTGGATGGCGCCAGATCAACCTCCCAAGTGGTGGTCAGTTTCAGGGCCTCCCTGCTGCTGTACTTGAAGCTCTGCCCTCTGAGGGTCGAGCGCTTCTCATCCACCGTATACACGAAGGTCGTCTGCAAACTCCTCAGTAGCTCCTCGTTCAACTGCCCTGAGTAGAGCAGCGCCTCGTTGCTGTCCGACAGGACCAGCAGGGGCTTCAAGAAGTTCCTGTCGTGGTAATTCAGGAGGGTTCCTTGGGCGATTTTGTAGTTCAGGCGCTGAACTCCCTCTAGCGAGTGCCCAGTTATCGGGTTGAACTGGAACAGCACCCCTCTACCATTACGCTGGTCCTGCGCCAGCAAAACACACTGGGGGGCCAAAGGCGCGTATTGGGCAGTGCGCTGCACCAGCAGCAGCATCGTCTCCTTGCCACCCACCCCCAGGAAGGGCTGGACTCTCGGCAATCTGTAGCTCCACACGATTGAGCCCGACCAGGTGTCGATGCCGAAGAGCTTCCCGGCCTTAGTGGCCACCACTATGATTTTGTGCAGCCCGAACTCGTCCCTCACCAGCCCGCTGTTCAGCCGACTTAGCGGGTCGCCCAGCACGAAGCTGTAGAGCTGGTTGAGTTGCGTGGATATTCTGCGGCTGAACATCGTCAGTATGTTGCTGTCGAAGTCGAACTCGTGCTCAATGGAAGCGTCCAGCTCGGATATGGGGAGTTCGAAGAACTCCGCCGCTACTATATTGCTGAGCGCTTCTTCTTTGGTCCATAAGACGCCTTGCGGCAGCCGCACCAGGAGAAGGGCGTTGTCAGTGGTGGTCAGCAACAAATCGGTCACGCCCCCACTGGTTTGCCCGCCCATGATCAAGGGGGTTCCCAACCCCACTCGATAGGCCAGGTCAAAATGGTGCAAATCGGCTCCGGTTTCGTCATCCTTCGCACTGACTCTGATGAGATTGTCTTCGTCCTCATTGGCTTCCAGCTGGTAAATCACGCGCTTGCCATTCTCGTTAATGCTAAAAGCATTGGGTGCCAACCAATCAGCGCCCTTTGCTTGGGCGTTGCCTTCTCGAAAAACCACCAGCGCGGCTGAGTTTTCCTCCACCAAAAGAACCGATGGAACCTCGTGCTTGAAAGAAAGCAACGAAGCCCTGGACAGGTCCACTTCAGACAGCTTCTGCAGGGGCGTTGACACGAAGCTGGCATCTTCCTCCAGCAGATTTATGAAGAACAAATCGCTGGGCGTCAGACAGGCGTAGTATGAATTAGCTGTGGCACATGTGGAAGAGTCCCCTATCCAAGGGGCAACCACTCTCCGGGTCTCCTTTCTGGCATGCCTGCTAGTCGCGGATGAATAAACAGATATTTCCAAGTGCGATCGTTTTATCGGCACCACATGGAACAGCTTACCAGCTGCTGCAGTAAACGCACTGGGCACTGTTCGCTCTGCCGACAACGGCCACTCATCCAAAAGCGAGCCAGAGCTGATTTCCCAGCTCCTCACTAGCCAAGTGTTGTTCGATCCTGAAATCGTCAGAATCTCCTTGCCCACTTGCAGGAACTCGATCTGCGACCCGCTGGGGTCTTCTAGCACTTGTCTCCATTGAATATCGCCAGTTTCCAAGCTGAGACTGGCCAGAACGTTCTCCTCAGTGGCGACGATGATTCTTCGGGCCTCGAAGCTGGCAAACTTCGCTTTCCCGATAAACGAACGCTTCCAGTCGAACTTCCCCACTTGATCCTCATATAAGGCAACGGTTAAATGCACCAGTATGGTTAGTAGCACTTGCACTTTATATATTGATCGAAAATTAGCCATTTTTGCTACATCAGTTTACGGGGCACATAACCTAATTGCACTTCCGTGGTTTAACCTAAAAATAATTAAGGGTCTGTTGCAGCAATGCCAGATTTCTACGGTCTAGTGCAACACTGCACAAACAGGGCGCGATCACCAAGCAGATCAATTATTTGCGGATGGTTCCCCTTATTGTCATCAGAGATAATTCATTATTTTAGACGACATTCTGATTTTCGCACTGCAGCTGCTAAAACTCTCATTCAAGGGGATTTTAAACTTTTTTACTAAATAAGAAAAAAATCAATTTTATTCCCTTGAGTGGAATTTGACAGTCAAACTTTGCCCCACCTCTTATTCCTGTTGTCAATGTCAAAGTGTCTTCATGTATGAATGTGTCAACAACAAATAACTTAACAATTAAAAAAATTGGTTTTCGAGAATATTTCTTTAAATAATCGCTAGGTATAAGCAATGTCGGAAAGATCATTAGAGACCGCATTCGAACACTTGAAAATCGCAGAGAAAAGGTACTGTTATTCAAATAAGGCAATTGTTTCCCTAAAACTGCATGCATTTGTAATACCTATCGGTTGTTTTCAGCAAGAAAGTTTCTATTCTAAAGTGGCGGCCCGATTACGAAAATGCTGCTGATGAATACCAGAAAGCAGGTATACACCCCGAACATCCCATCGCTTCAAAGGATACTGAATATTCGCATTTTTAGCCATCTGCTTCAAAGTCGCCAAATCATACGAAAACTGCAGGGATTGTTTACTGAACGCGGCAGAATGCCACAAGGAAACAGGATCGTATCCTTTCAAAGATTGTCCATTGTTTGGCTTCTATATTTTAATAAGTTTCCTTATCCCACACCTGTAGGTTCTTCTATGCGGCGAAAGCCCTCGATCAATCGATTTTAGTCTGCAAGGAAATGGGCAATTTGGAGGGTATATTTCATATGGCCAAACGGGCGGCTCATCTGTTCCAAGGCCAAGGCAATCAAGACTCTGCGATTGCCACCCTGGTGAAAACAGCCAAAATACTGGAATCTCATACCCCCTCTGATGCCCTGCTTTTATATCGTGAAGCTGCTGAAATTGCTGGGGTAATTTTCAATTTAAATCCACCAAAATTTGCTTGCTGGATCGAATGGTTTATTCGCACTTTCATTGTCTTATAAATAACCAAGAGTCAATGAAAGTCCGAGTAAACAATTCAGCCTTATTCATTGCAGATTCAGGACAATCAACGCGAAGCAGCTGAATACACGAGCAAAGTGGCCAGGATTCACGTGAAGTTACAAGAGTAAGGCACTTGCCTAGCAGCATAGTTCCAGACTAAATTTCCTCGTTTATCAGATACGATCAGGCTGCTGACGCTATAAGAAGGGAAATCGCCATTCATCAAGCATTCGAAGCTACCCAGGCCGTGGGCCGACTAGTTGTGGCCTTAGTTTTAGTTCAACTGGCCCGAGACGACTTAGTGGCGGCTGAAAAGGCCTTTAAAGAATGGGGTAAATAGATTTTAATCATCTTGAAAAAGCGGACGCTATTTAATAAGTATTATACATAAAGGGTGCGGTTATTTTTATGAGTATGTTGCGTAAAATGCTTCTCGTTTTAAACCCTCCAACATTGCGCTGTAGGGCTGGTCATTGTTCCTGTTGGCATCTGCTGGTTTCGCTAAACACTCGGTAATCAGGCAAACTAGCGCAAGGATTGAAAAGGTGAACACTAAGTGGTCGAGGACTTCACACATTTCACTTCAACGCTTGAGAGCATTTTTGATTTTAGCATTTTATCGTCAAATTTTGAAGTGTTCACCGGCAGGTCTTGCAGGTAGCAACAGTTTAGCCATTGAATAAGCGCCGCTTTTACCATGTTAACCACCGACTCGTGAGGGTAAAGTTTTTTATTGAGTGGATTTGCATTTCAGGCAACTACTGTGAGGCTCCAGAGATTCAAAATCTTGAAATGCTGCTGCAGGCATACGACGAAGAGGATAAGGAAAATGCATTGAGGGCATTAAACGACCCTTTCATCAAACACATGGATGTTGAATACGCGATTTTGGCCCGAGACATGCGTCTGCCCCAAGGAACTGCATTGGTCCAGAAAAAGCCGATTGTGGAAAACGCTACCGATGAATATAAACGAGTCAGGCCCCAAAATGACGAGGTAATACCCATATTGCCATTGCACCCATTGCCCATTGACCAGATGAAAGTTAATTCCCGGGTTTCAGTCATTTATTGTCTTTATTTATCAATTAAAATACGTTTCTGATGATGGTGGAAAAATACACCGAAACGTATTTTAATTGATAAATAAAGACAATAAATGACTGAAAACCAAGAATTAATTTTGATTTGGAATTGAAACACAGTCAGGAAAGCATATACATTGACCAGATAGTTAATTGTTTTATTCGCGGATTTTTCCCATTTCAGTATGTTCCCACTGAGGCTTTTCAAGCGCCGTTCGAGAAGAGCGCGGCCCAAAAGTCCAGCTCCGTTGAAGACGAATTCGATGAATACGCCGGAGGGTTGTGCTAAGAAAGCGGATTTTTCCTCTCGTTTCTCTCTGACTGCTTCGCAATTCACCAGCTATTTAATTTAGGCAGCAGTAGCTTCGACACGGGGGTAAACGAAGAGTGAGGCGAAGGTTTTAACATGTTCAACTAATAAATTTACCTACACTTACTTAATCTTCCGTATTACAACACGTACACCATAGAGTAGCTGAATGTTCGATATATGGAAAAGAGGCAGACAGGCGCAATATATTTTCATAAGAAAGGCCTAGGGAAGGTTGCAATACGCTTTCTTTACAGTGCATTTTGTTTTCACCCCTGATATCATTTGATAGTAGGATTTATCCAGACGCCCTTCTATAGTTACCGAGAATGGCTGTAGTAGATTTGTAATTATCTGTTGCATGTAGTGAGTGAGGCCATGAAAATAAATGTTTTTGAATCAGGTTTTGCGTCAATACCGTTCAGGGAAAAACCAACAACCACCTTAAAGGAAAATATGTTTATTTGGAATACAACAACTCTACTTGATGCTTATTATACTGGGGCTTTACGAAGACCTTCGGCAAATGGACAATTGGAAATTCACTTTAACTAGAGTTTTCAGCTCATTAACACATTTCATTGGGGCAGCAGTACATTTACCATTCGGATTGATTAACACAGCACAAGAAGTTGAAAATTAAGAACTAAATTGGTTCTTGACTGAAATGTTTTCGGTATAGACCAGGTCCCAACCGAGATCATACTGAAAGGTTCAATGTTCGCAAGGAATGCTTAAAAATGTATGAGAATTACGAGCGTTTGAAAAAATACTGTTCCACATTCAAACCTGCATGCATGAGGCAACATTCAGCAATCATTTTAGTTAGTTATCCGCATAATCTTTCACAATACACTTACATAATCAACACCTATTCACGCTAAATCGAATAAATACCTAAGAATTTCTGGCAACATATTGGACATGCAATAACTGAAAAAGATTAGATTTTGTCCGATCAAAAAACAGCAACATCGAGTTCTCGAGCTCGATAAACCGTGATGATTAAAGACCTAAATAATTTGAAACTCATAGCTTAGTTTTATCAGTGAGTAATTATGAAGACGCATGCATTCAGTTGTTTAAGCTTTCCCATAGTTCGTCGTCGCCCCATTTGTCGGCCGCGACAGGCTTTTTCGCTTCTTTTTTCTTCTCCTTCCGATTGGCGCTCTTGGACTCCGTGGGTGAAGTTGCGGCCGTAGTACTTGCCGAATATTCTCTAAAAAAGTCGACAATTTTGTAATTTTATTTGAGAATTTTCAAATTTTATTACCTGTAATCAGATTGATAACCTCCAGAAGCCGCCCCATCTTCGTTCTGGTAGCCCCAGCCGGAATTCTCCCAGTATGTGGGGGATTTTGGACTTGACGCCCTGGAAATTATTTTTGTATTTCAACTACTAATTGAAGAAAGTGGTAAAATTTCACTCGATCTCAGATGCACACAAATGTATTCGGTCAACTTTCCATAATAAACAAGTGAATCCTCCTTACTCACTTTGATCCTTGTTGACTCCCAGTGCTCCAGTCCTCCTCTCTACCATGCCCATTCCCGCTACTAACCAGCGACGATCTTTCGCCTGGCGAATGGTAGTTTTCGCCGCTCATTTGCCCATAACCGCCCGATTGGTAGCCTGGCGTTGCATTAGTGCCGCCCATTTCTTTCCATCCTTTCCGCCCCAATTCGCCCATCTACCAACAACAGCAAAATCTCATTTTCCTCATCCAAACCTTGAGTGACAATCAGGGCGGTCTGCCTGTACATTACCTTATTCGCTAAGCCCGATACTTGAGTACTAACGTCCTCAATCAACGTCCCATCTTTCACCTAGATGTGTTTAAAAAAACAAAAAGAAATGAAACGAAATTATCGAAATAAAGTGACTGAAAGGCATGAAGAAATCAATGACCAACTGAATAGAACAATGGCAAAACGGGCAAACAAAAGGAAAATAAAACAAACCTTCTCGCCTACATGAGTGCTAATATCAACTACCTTCTGAGTCGCTATTCCTCCGTACTTCACCACGTTCTCAGTCGCTTTGCTTGCCACTTTCGTGGCTGACGACGATAGGAAGGACCAGCCCTAAAAATGCTTCACTAACTAAACTTAAATGTCTAAAAACTACGCTGGTCAGAGAATTGGAGAGAAATTTCCAAACTTACAGTAGCCAACGATGACAGGGCGGTATCTACGAATTCTTGTGATTGGCTTCTAGGGGGAATTTCCTTCGTGTAACCAAAGCCGCTGTATTTGCCTCCTTGACTGGGGGGCAAATCGCTGTAAAATTTTGAGACTTTCCGTCGACTCCATTCGTTTAGCCAACCAACTTACTCGCGCTTATTGGCGTTCTCCGCTTGTTTTTTCGCAAAAAATTGCTCCTTTTGGTCCTTAAAGCCTGCAGTGTTGTAGTTTTGGCTAACCTGGCCTCCTCCTTGATAACTATCCGCATTGTTGTAATTCTGATAGTTGGAATTGGAGTAGTTGTTGCTAACGGCTCCTCTTTGAGCAGTCGGAATATATCCGCTATGGAACCTTTGAGCGGGCGATTTTCTCTCGTCCCACGTTTTGCCTTCTGCTAGGGTTGCAATCTACAAAAAGCTAGTTTAAAACCTCCGAGAATCGCTGATTAAAACGCCTTACTTTGTCCTTGTATAAGGCGGCAGCTTTGGTGTTGTATTTCTGCTGAATGCTCATCGTGTCATCCCAATCGTCTTGAGCCTCGAAAAACTGTCTGGCGTTCCTGTTTCCTCCCACCTAACCAAAATTAATCGATTTCAAACAAGCTCTTTAGAAAAGTGTTTCCACTACCTTCATTTTCTCCAGTTCAGTGTCCTTCCATTTATCCATAGTAACTGATCTTACGAAGGATAAATGGACTCCTAAGCCTCGATGTTTGCCCGAACATTCCAGGCAAATCCATATACCGTATGTTACCGATACCCATTGCGGATTGTGCGTTCCACATTCAAAACATTTCTTTGCAAAACAAAGGGGTTTATTTAGTAACACTTTGACTTGATGTATTATGTACAATAATGCGCGTTTGATCTAGAACTGAGTTTTCCAGCTACAACGCGAAAGGCGCAATCAACAGTTTGTTGACTATTCGCAACTTGGAGGCCTTTGAACTTTCCATATGTTAGCGCAAACCGCACTGTAAATATTTCAGCTCATGCTCATGCTTTTGCGTGATACTTTTGATAGCTGTTGCTGTTACATCTAACGGCAAAATTGGGAGAAATTTGATCTGATTACATTTTGGTACTTACATTATTTTCTTCATGGGGCTTTAACTCTTGTAAAACTCGTCTTGTTCTAGGGCTCGCCATCCTCGCAGCAACGCAACTAGTTAATGTGTATTACGAACAGGTCATAACTATAGTAGCTATTAATATTAGTTATTGTTTAAATATTTAAAATTATATACAAAAATTCATAAAAAATGGATTAGGGTCTTTGACGTGGAAGTGTCACGTATGTGTAATGTCAGAATGCGCATAACCTAAACCTTGATCAATTTGCATTCATCACTAGCTGAGGAGGTTTAATCACAGTGACGTTTTTGTGGCTAGCTCGTTTTTAAGAAAATAAAATACTTAAACCGCATTTTACGCCCTTAAAACTACCCACACCAACTCCTAACAAAATGCCGCAATTAACCCAAATTTATCCACCCAGCTAGCAGCAACAGAAATTAATAAATAATAACTTGAACAGTTAGCAAATCAAGGCGGCTAGCGGAGAAGAAAAGCAAGTCATAACCTTAATTTTCCTCGTGTTGTGAAGTGCGAGTAAACAACTTTGAGCCTCAATCAGTTTTTATGTGCTTGCAATGTCGAAAGGAATGAGAAAAGGAAACACGCTTTCCTATAAAGGCAGCAATTTCCTCAAGCAGCGCTTGGTATTGTCGGTTTTAAGTGGAAAGCCTGTGAACATCACTGATATTCGAGCAATTAATGATGAGCCCGGTCTGCACGAGTTTGAGGTGAGTTTGGTGCGACTCTTCGACAAAATCACCAATGGGACCGTTGTGGAGCTAAACGAGACCGGGACAGCCCTGTATTTCCAGCCAGGCCTTCTTTGGGGAGGCACAATTGAGCATGACTGTTCTCTTGAACGTGGCATTGGTAAGGCGCAAAACCTCTATTAAGGCTTTTCTAGCAGCGTTAACGATTGCAGGATACTATCTGGAAGCCCTCTGCATGCTGGGGTTCTTCTGCAAGCAGCCGTTGAATATCACCCTGCGGGGCATAACAAATAACAACATTGACCCTTCAGTGGATCTCTTGAGCACCTCCCTTATGCAAACCATGAAAAGATTTGTTCTGGATGACGAAGGATTAAGCATAAAGATCAGCAAAAGAGGTAAACTATCAGCGCACATTTTCATGTCTATTTCAGGTGATTTTTTTAGGCATACAGCCCTTAGGGGGCGGGGAGGTGATTTTTAAGTGCCCCATTAGGACGAAGTTAAGGCCACTTCAGCTCCTTGATTGGGGAATGGTGAAACGAGTGCGAGGTTAGTAATTTCAGCATCAAATCAGGGCAATTCGGGACAAAAAATTGAAACTTCCAGGAACTTCCTATGCCTTAAGAGTGTCCCCTGCTATGGCAAACCGCATGGTGGAAAAGGCGAAAGGAGTGCTGCTGAATTTTTTGCCCGACGTGTTCATTAGTACAGATCAACGCAAAGGCAAACAATCGGGAAACAGTCCGGGGTTTGGCATTCATTTATATGCGGAAACCACAAAGGGAGTAATCTATTCATCGGAGCAAGTGAGAGCATGTCGATGAGAATCTAGGAAGTTTTACCAAACTTGAACTTGCAGATTTCAAACGATTTATCTAGTGGAGGCGAGCCATCGATACCCGAGGATTTGGGAACAGCAGCAGCTCAAAGGCTACTATATGAAATTTACCTAGGAGGAGTCGCGGACTCCTCCAGCCAAGCCTTAGCTATTTTAAACATGGCGCTAGGGCCGAAAGACGTCTCAAAAATCATCCTGGGGCCCCTCAGTGACTACTCAATAGGGTTTCTAAGGAATCTACGCGATTTCTTTGGTGTTACCTTCAAGCTGGAGCCATTTGAGAGTGAGGAGGACCGCGAGGGAACCGGTTCTCAAAAAGTCTTGTTAACTTGCGTGGGAATTGGATACAGTAATATAAATAAAAGGGCCATATAGATATTGGTGACTAGTGTTTGTGTGCAGTTGCCCTCCGAAGAGAAAAATCGCGAGTGGAATTTAAAGGAGTATTAGTGTGATGTTTTATCAAATTTGGGGAATTGGAAAAGGCGTCTTAAATTCTCGATTTTTTTTATTTCAGTTTCAACAGTAAATGCGATAACAACAATAACGTAAACGTCGCTTTAAAACGTGGCTATTCTAAATGTGATTAGGCATTCAACTGGTAGTTAGGAAAAGTGCTCCGATTAGCAAGTCGATAAAATCCAATTGATTGTTACTGAGGCGGTTGTTTTTCCGACGTAATATTGCAGTTGCGGGACTGGAACCTTAGTTTAGGGTGAATAGAAAATATGTAGAAAACCATTAAAAGTCTTGTGCTCGAATTGCAGTAAATATTTAAAGATTCGCTTGCAGCATGGTGATTTTCCGTTCAATTCCCGCCCTGCATAGAGGACACTGTCCCACTGATGCCGAGCATTCAGAGCAGCAGCACAAGTGGCCACAAGGCACAAAAATCACATCGCACTGAAAGGAATTTCAAGGCATCTCCCCTTTTGCTTCAAACACTTTATGCGAAACTTACCCGGCAATCCAAGCAAACAACGCACTCCAAAGTGACTATGGCTTTAATATCAGCTGGTGGGTTTGGAGGCGCCGATGCTTCGTCTTGAAGAACTGGAGCCGATGGCGCGTGTTCGCACGAAATATGCTCTTTGGAGTAGAGCTGCAACGCATCTAGAATCTTCAGTCGGTCAGCGGGAATTTTCACTCCTGCTTCTAGTAGATGCTGCTCCGTTATGCTCTTGGTGTTGGCTAGAATGTTTTTTTTTTAAGAAAAAATCCAGCTAAAGCGGGTCAGCAACTTACATTGGCACTGAGTGAGTTTGGCTAAAAATGGCAAACAGTGCAAAACCCCATTGGCTAGTAGCATTTCAGCCAGTTTCGGATCAATGTTTCTCTGGGCCTGCGACAGGCCTTCAGGCAACCTGAAAACAACCGAATTCACATAAGGTACCCATAAAAAACGGGTCAGCTTCGAGTACTTTTCCAGCAGGCGCTGATATTGCCTCAACCAGAAATCTTCGGAATCTTCCGCGCTGTGCTCTTCCATTATTTGAAGCGTTGATAACAGTTGGGCCCTTCTTTCCTTCTGTTGGGCCAATAAATCCGTTAGCAGTCGCGAAAGATTCAACCTCTTCTCAGCTAAATCGTTCTAGAGTAATAGGAAACACCCAGTGAACTTTTTGCGCCAGTAATCAATGAAAGTCCGCTTACGATATGTTCGTCCATTCGCAATTTCTTCCTGTCCAGCTCTATGTTGGTTAAGGCCCCTAACTGCGATTCAACCAGTCGTACTTGCTGTAACAAGCCCCAGCTTCTGGCGTCGCCTCTTTCCAAAAGCGTGCTAACGGCCGCTTTTTGTAGATCGTTATCCTCCATTAACTTGGCCACCCAGTTCGATTTCTGCAAGTCTTGGTTTCGGAAAATATCGGCTAGCTTCGAGCCTGAATCCAACTCTCTGTAAAGGAAGACATTTTCAATTTTCCATTAATGGGGATATTTGAAATGTGCTAACTGCTCTAAAATACTTCGCGACATTTCTATTCGGTTCTTGTCTAGTTTGCTAAACATATCCGTCTCCTGCTTCAAGATATCCTGCATTGCTGCCAGAACATGGCTTTTTGATATCGTATCGTGCTCCCTAAGGATGAACATTGATTACTTATCACTAATTACCAGGACAATGTATTAAAAATCACCTGTTAAGAGCAGCCAGCAACTTTTCTTCCTCCTCCCTTTCCTGCTCTAGAAGCTGCGCTGCTGGCTCCTTGCTGATGCTCAGGAGGTTCTTTATGGCGATATCGGCGTTGTTTTCAACTGCGGAAAACTTGCGCTTAACAAGGCTTTAGGGAGAGTTTAATTGCCACTTTGCTACCTTCCTGCAGCTGCTCGATCAGTCTAAATTTGTCAGTCTCGCGTTCCTGCTGAATTTGGCTCAGTTTGAAATCTAGCTTGGATTGCTGGCGACTTATTGAGGCTAACAACTGGAACAAAATTAAACTTATGAAAGCTATGGGCAGTTTCTATTGAAATCACCTGCTGCTTATTGGCTTTATGCACAGTCGCCATCTCAAACTCCTGCTTTAGGAGCAAGTCATTGTTTTCCTGGATGGATTTCAGTTTTTCCATCCGCTTCAACTGCAATGAGTATAAGAAACAATGTAAATCTATGCGGGTAAAGGCCGCTATGAGTGATGGGGATGAGTGCAAATGAAACTGGCAAGAAATAAATCAAATAAACAAAAACATGCCTTCTCAGTTTCTAGATCCAGAATTCTGCCCTAAAAAACGGAAAATAATCATTTAGAGCTTCAGCTAATGAGTGCTGACAATAAATAACTAGCCACTTGATTTCAACGTTTACTTTTAATACCAAATTGTAGAGTGTGTCGTTTTCGCCTTCTAAATTGGGCTTGTTTATCATCTCACTGCTCTCATCTCCCATCTGGTTGGGAGGAATATATTCGGCGCCAACGTCTGGAATATACGAATTTTTGGGCTTAACTGGCACATGAAACTTTCACCTTTCCTACCGTCACTGATAAATTTCTTAATTGCTTCTGTTCCTGCTTCCGCAACCGCACAGGGAGGATAGAGAAAATTTCCGGTAGTCAACTCAATGAGAACCAGCCTTCTAGCCTTGCAAATAGTCTTCGGCAAATGCCTCAAGTTTGGATTGCCTGTTAAATACAACTTTTGCAATTTTGCCAACTTGCCCATCTCTTCAGGCAGGTTCCGGAGTTTATTTTCACTTAGACTAAGACTTTTCAAGTTTTCTAACGAACAAATTGAGTCGGGGAGCCCGTTGAGTTTATTGCTATTTGCGTAGAGTTCCTTGAAAAAGTACCGCGGTGTATTTGGGTCGATGCAAAAGGTTTGGTTCTCACCTCTAAGCTTTTCAATGCAGAAATCTCGCTTGGGAGCGTTGAAATATCATTGTTTGAAATATCCAAGATGATCAAATGGCCTAGAGAGTTCAGCTCGCCTCCGCCAGACAGTGAGGAAAGCGAATTATGTTGAAGCAGAAGTGATCTTTTGAGGAAAACTTTACAAAGGGAGTAAATTCCAGTGGGGACTTCTACCAAATCGCAATGCGATAAGTCAAAGACTGGCTCTGGGGATTCTCTGGCCTAAAATTCCTGTGTTTGTTTCCAGCGTTGTTACAGTGTTTTCACCACATACCAAGTACAATTTGTGCTCCAGCCTTTTCTTGTCCACTTTCTTCCTTCGAAACATGTCGCAAACCGTGTAGCAGTTGAAAAATGGCATTGCCATGCCCACACTGTACTTTTGTATAGTCATCTAATGCAAGTGCGTGATTTTGTTAATAACTTTCAGGGCTGGGCTGCTGTTTTAGGCCGCAAACCTCCATTGCTCGCAGCTAATAACTTCCGAACTCACAACCGATTTCCACGTCACTTGGCGAATTAATTGAGTGAAAATCTAATGCATTTAATGCTCTTGATTAGCGGAAAATATTATAAATTTTTTGTTTGGTTTTATTATTAACATGTCAACAGAACGACAAATTGATGGTTACTGTGTGGTTACTGTACAATATTTCCTTCTTTTGTTCTAGTTAAAGCCGTGACAACACCGCACTTGAGGCTATATTAATAAGTTTATTCGTGGGTTTACCAGTTTTGCTCTGCACATTAAATGAATAAAGCCATTTTAAATTTGTTGAACTGCTTTTTTCTAAGCTGAGCAGCGATTTCAACACTCCTAACTCCTTCCAGTCGGTGGGCGTATATTTCCAGCAAATGATAAATCTTAAAGGAGACCCTTTTATTGTTGTCCAACTGTATAGCACGCGATTGGTTAAATCAAATCCCAACTACAATCAATGGGAGGTAAATCGGGTCGAACTGATGGCCAATGGGAGACAAGGGATTTTCGTGTGTTTCTAAGGTGTTGCTCTTTATTAAGGCGTTTCCCAAAGGGCAGGGCATCGGTTTAAGAAGGAGAAAAACGCCCGCGAAAGTAGTTTGTAGAGAAACTACAAAATGAGCGTATTCGAACGATTATTTCAGTTATATTCCGATCACAACGTACCCATATTCTATTCATTAATCCCGTATATTAAATTCGGCTATTTCAATTTAAGCATTGATCAAGTTCGATAGTTCAAGTGCTCTGCTTTAAGCTTTAACAAACGTTATTTAATTGCGTCAGCCTGATTTAACATTTTGTGCTCGTTCTTTATTACGCAATATTTTTCTTAATTTTTATGTGTTTTCTAATTTTATTTTCTGAATTTGTAGATATAATTTTTTGAAATAAATTGGAAATATTAATATCTAAATTTTGCTTGATTAAAACAAAAAACTAACCGATTGTTATTTTGCCAGCGTACTTTTCCCTCAATTATCCTAACAGATATTTAAAACAGTCCACTATAGTTATCCGTTCAATTTCAACGTAACAATGTACCTACTATTTTCAGGCCAATCATTATAGGTACTCTGTATTGGCAAATTATTTTTTACTATTTTAAATAACGTGCTAATTTTAGTTTTGTGCGGGTGTGGTTTTGTATAAAACATAATTTTTTAATGCAAATAATCCTGGTGAAATGAAGGAAAACGAGGCATTTCTAAAAACGTGAGTAGGTGAACTATTTTTGTCCAGTTCAAGTGCATTGAAGCCGCTGTAGTTAATCATAGCGCATGACGTACTTCTACCGAATATACAGGGAGTTTGCTTATGATTTGCCACTATGATGGCAAAACGTTCTTGAAAAAAACGCGTTTTAATAGTTCAAAACTGCTTGAGATTTTTGAATGATACTCAGTATAATTTAGGCCTGGGTAATACTGTGTCTTAAGACACTTGTGTGTTAATCCCGCTCTGTGTGTCCAAGACATTTTGAAAAATCGACCCCCATCCTTGCTAAAGAGCGTGAACACTCAAAAAACGCTTAAAATGTGCCGAAAATGTCCATTATTTCGGATCTGAAACTTCTACCATGTTTTTTGAGTTCGATGAAATTTAAGACATTTTGAGAAAATTTAAATTTTTTCAAAAAATCGACCTCCACCCTTAGAAAAATTTCGACCAAAAATCAAAATTTTACATGCTTGTTTTTT